TTGTTTTGTTTTGTTTTGTTTTGTTTTGTTTTGTTTTGTTTTGTTTTGTGTTTTTTTTTGTATTTTATGTTATTTTTTTTGGGGCGGTTTGGTTTTTGTTTTTGGGGTTTGTTTTGGTTTTAGTGATTTTTATTTTGTTCTCTGTTTGTTAGTTTTCTTTAAGGTGTGTTTTTTTATATAATAATAACCTATATTAATAAAATTAATTATTTGAATAGAATTGATTTAAGTTACTAAAGATAGGATTTATTTTAAATAAGTATTATTATAATAAAATTAATTATATTGAATACAAATACCTAAAAAGAAAATTTTAGATTCTATATATATAATATATTTAATAAGATAAATTGAATCTTATATTAAATATAAGTCATATTAAATAATTACTTATTTTAAATTATTTATCTTATTGATGTATTAATTCTATTAAGATAAACATTTATATAGTTTTTAGATCTCATTTTGTAAATCTAAAAAAAATGAGATCTAAAAAAGGGAGTACTCTTGCTTGTTACTTGGTTCTTGTTGTTTGTACTTTTTTTTGTCGTACCTTTCTTGTTGTTGTTGTTTATAGAGTAGTTTTATTTTCATGGTTGGTCTTTGAAAAGTTTTGATCTATTAGAGTTGGGCAAGAAAAAGATTTTTTGGTTGGTTTGTGGGTGGGGGGTACTCTTGCTTGTTACTTGGTTTTTGTTGTTTGTACTTTTTTTTGTCGTACCTTTCTTGTTGTTGTTGTTTATAGAGAGTAGTTTTATTCTTGCTTTTATGTTTGTTCTTAATTTTTTTTATATGTAAGTTTTTGCGTGATTTGTTTTTTCTTAATGTTGTTTGTTTTTTTATTCGCATTATTTATTTTTATATATTGAGGTGACTCAGATTTAGTTATATTTTTTAGAGTTGGTTAAATTTGTGCCAGCAGCCGCGGTTATACATGGAGCTCAAGCAAATATTTTTTGGTTGATAGTTTTATTTAATTTTTGGGTTTTATTTCTTTTGATTTTTGGTGAAATTTCAATTTCTTGTTTTTCCCCCTTGTTGTTTTGTAGGCTATGAAATCTTTTTTTAGACTAGGATTAGATACCCTATTATTTTTGATGTTAATTTTGTGGCCTGAGTAGTATTAGTTATGTTCTTGAAACTTAAAGAATTTGGCGGTATTTTATTCCGTTCAGAGGAATCTGCCCTATTATCGATAATCCGCGTTGGACCTTGCTTATTTTTTTTGTTTGTATACCGCCGTTATAATGAGAATCTTTTTAGGGTTATAATTTTTTCTTTCCTTTATTTTGGTTTATTTCAGGTCAAGGTGCAGCTTTTATTTAAGTTGGTGGTGGATTACATTGTTATTAATTTTGGATTGTTTGTTGAAATTTCTTTCATGAAATTGGATTTGATTGTAATTATTTGAAGATTGTTTTTGTGATTTTGGTTCTAAAGTATGTACACATCGCCCGTCGCTCTCGTTGTTTAAGAGGCGAGATAAGTCGTAACAGAGTGGTTGTACCGGAAGGTGTAGCTGGAATGATACAGATTATATACCTAGGAGGTATTTTCATTTACATTGGAGAGTTTGCTGTGCGATTCAGTGTGGTCTGATTTGATATGTAGTTTATTGTTTTTAATGGTTTTTATTTTGTTTTAATGGAAGTATTTTATTGTCATTGTATATTTTTTTGGTTTGATTTTTTTAATTATAGTTTACTTTGTACTGTATAGGTTTATTTATTTTGTTTTTTGAAAGTTTATTTTGTTTGTTGTACCTTGTGTATCAGGGCTTATTAAATTTTATTATTTATTTTCTATTTCCCGATTTCAAGTGAGTTAATTATTTATTTTAGTTGCTGTTTTATAAGCATTAATAATATTTTATTGGTGGTGATATGCTATTCGTATTTGATGGTATCTGGTTCCTTGGGAAATGAATTTAATTCATGTAATTTATTTAAAGTTTCTTTTTCTTAGGTTATTTTTATTTTTTGCAAATGTTTCGGGGGTTTAGCTTCGTTTCATATTTTTATAATTTGTTTTGTTTTGTTTATTTTGGTGGGTTTTATGTTAACTATCTTTTTAAGTATGTTCAAATTTTATTTTTAGTTATTTTTTCTTTATGTTTTGTTTAATTTTTTACTGGGGTTTATTTTTTAATTGTTTTTTATTTGTAATAATGGTAGGATTAGTATATTCTTTTTTATTTTGTGTTTTATTTTTTATTTCTTTAAAAGGAATTCGGCAATTTTTATATCCGCCTGTTTATCAAAAACAACTTCTCTTGTGTTTTTTTGAGGTATGGCCTGCCCGCTGATTTTTTTGAAGGGCCGCGGTATTTTGACCGTGCAAAGGTAGCATAATCATTAGTCTTTTAATTGTGGGCTGGAATGAATGGTTTGACGAGATATAATCTGTCTCTTTTTGATGTATTGAATTTTGGTTTTAGGTAAGAATACCTAAATTTTTTTATGGGACGAGAAGACCCTATAGAGTTTTATATTTGTGATGATTTTTTTGTTGGTTTTTTTTAATATTGTTTTGTTTATTTTGCTGGGGCGGCTAGGAGATTTGTTTAACTCTTCTTTTTTTTGTTTATTTATTTATATTTTTTTTGATCCTTTATTATTGATTTTAAGATTAAATTACCTTAGGGATAACAGCGTAATCTTTCTTGAAAGTTCTTATTGACAGGGGGGTTTGCGACCTCGATGTTGGATTAGGGTGAATTTTTGGTGTAGAAGCTTTAATTGATTAGGTCTGTTCGACCTTTAAAATCCTACATGATCTGAGTTCAGACCGGCGTGAGCCAGGTTGGTTTCTATCTATAATTTGTTTTGTGAGTTAGTACGAAAGGACCACTTTCAATAAATAATTTTATGTTGTTTGATTATTATTAATTACTATTTTGGCAGAGAAGTGCAGTGGATTTAGAATCTTCTAATATAAATTTATTTTATATGTAGTAGTGTTTAATGACTTTTTATTTTTGTTTGTTGTTTTTTTTTTATTGTCTATTTTTGTTATGGTTGGTGTAGCTTTTCTTACTTTACTTGAGCGTAGGGTTTTAGGTTATATTCATATTCGTAAGGGTCCTAATAGGGTGGGGTTTTTAGGTTTGCTTCAACCTTTTAGAGATGTGGTTAAGTTGTTTGTTAGGGAGCAGTGTTTTCCTTATGTTTCTAATTATTTGCCTTATTATTTTGCTCCTGTGTTTGGTTTGTTTCTTTCTTTAATTATTTGGTTGGTTATTCCTTATTTTGGTGGTTTTTTTTCTTTTGATTTAGGTTTATTGTTTTTTTTGTGTTGTACTAGACTTGGTGTTTATTCTCTTATGGTTGCTGGTTGGTCTTCTAATTCTAATTATTCTTTGTTGGGGTGTATGCGTGCAGTTGCTCAATCTATTTCTTATGAGGTTAGACTTGCTTTGATTTTATTGTCTTTTGTTTTTTTGGTTTGTGGTTATAATTTGGTTTCTTTTTTTTATTTTCAGTTTTATGTTTGGTTAGTTTTTTTTTCTTTGCCTTTGGTTTTAGTTTGATTTGTTTCTTGTTTGGCGGAGACTAATCGAACTCCTTTTGATTTTGCTGAGGGTGAGTCTGAGTTGGTTTCTGGTTTTAATGTTGAGTATAGATCTGGAGGGTTTGCTTTAATTTTTTTGGCTGAGTATGCTAGAATTTTGTTTATGAGTGTTTTGTTTTGTGTTATGTTTTTGGGTTGTGATTTGTATTCTTTTTTTTTCTTTTTAAGGGTTTCTTTTGTTTCTTTTTTATTTGTTTGGGTTCGTGGTACTTTGCCTCGTTTTCGTTATGATAGGTTGATGTATATATCTTGGAGGAGTTTTTTGCCTGTTTCTTTGAATTATTTAATTTTTGTTTTGGGTGTTAGGTTATTTTTTTACTCTTTGTTTTAGTGTATTAATTTGAGTATGTTTTAAGTCGGTAGGGGATTTAAACTCCTTTCTCTTACTTTCAAGGTATTTGCTTATCATAAAGCTTTCCGACTATTTTGTTGTCTTGTCTCACATTTTTGTTATTATTGGGTTCGTGATGTAGTATGAGAAGTATATTACTGTTAGTATTTGTCCTGTTATAATATATGGTTCTTCAACTGGTCGGGCTCCAATTCATGTTAATAGGATTACAGTGTTTGTTATTAGCCAGAATATAATTTGGTTGATTGGGTAGAACTGTGTTCCTCGGAATTTGGTTTTTTGTAGGGGTAGGATTAATAAGATTGCGATTGATATAAATAGAGCAATTACTCCTCCTAATTTATTAGGAATTGATCGTAAGATTGCGTATGCAAATAGGAAATATCATTCGGGTTGAATATGAATTGGTGTTACTAGTGGGTTTGCAGGGATAAAGTTGTCTGGATCTCCAAGAAGGTAAGGTTCTTTTAGTGATAATATTGATAATATTATAATTAATAAAATGAATCCTACTGTGTCTTTGATAGTGAAGTATGGGTGGAATGGGATTTTGTCGGTATTTCTATTTATTCCTGTTGGGTTGTTTGATCCTGTTTGGTGTAGGAATGTTAAGTGAATAATTACTATTGCTAGAATTATAAATGGTATTAGGAAGTGTAATGTGAAGAATCGATTTAAAGTGGCGTTGTCTACGGCGAATCCCCCTCAAACTCATTGTACTAGTTCTGTTCCTACATATGGGATTGCTGATAGTAAATTAGTGATTACTGTTGCCCCTCAGAATGATATTTGCCCCCATGGTAGTACATATCCTATAAAAGCTGTTCCTATAGTAGTGAAGAAGATTACTACTCCAATATTTCATGTTTCTGTGAAGTTGTATGATCCGTAGTATATATTTCGTCCAATGTGTATGTATATGCAAATGAAGAATATTGATCCTCCGTTAGCGTGTAGTGTTCGTAGTAATCACCCATAATTTACATCTCGGCAAATGTGTACTACTCTTGAGAATGCTGATTCAGTGTTGGGGCAGTAGTGTATAGCTAGGAATAGTCCTGTGATGATTTGTATACCTAAACATAATCCTAATAAGGATCCAAAGTTTCATCATGTTCTAATATTTGATGGGGTGGGTAGATCTACTAGTGCGTTGTTTATAATTTTGATTAGTGGGTGGTTTTTTCGTATGGGTTTATTCATTATTTTGATTTTCGTAATGGTCCTTCTGAAATATTTGTGATTTTTGCAACTACAATTAGTGTTAATAGTAGATATAGGGCTAATATAAGTGTTGTTGATCCTGTAGGTAGGTTATAGAATTTTTCTAATATTAAGTTTGTTTTTTCGTTTGCTCTTAATTTATGTTCATATGTTCATGTGTATGATTCCTCTATTCTTATTATGAATATTATTGCTGTCATGATTGCTGTTGCTGCTGATAGTTTTATTGATAAAAATATTATTTCATTTGATGCTAGTCTTGTTATGTAGATGAATAGTACTAGTATTCCTCCTAGGAATACTAGGAATAAAATATATGGGAATCAGAATTTTTGGTTTATTATTCCTCTAATTGTGCATGTTAAGATGGTTTGTATTATTGTGATTATTCCTATGGCTATAGGGTGTTTTATTTGTGTGAATATTATTCTTATTGATGTTCTTGAGATTACTATTGTTTTTATAATATCAGAGTGTAGTTTAATAAAAATGTTAGTTTTGGGAATTAATGATAGGGTTTTCTTTTCTCTGAAGTCTTAAGAGGTTTTTCTCATTTTTGATTTACAAGACCAATATTTTTATTAAATTATTAAGACTTTTTAATGTTAATATTTTTTTATTTTTCTACCTTTTTTCTTTGTGGTTTGTGGGTTTTTTGTATGGATCGTAAGCATTTGTTGATTACTTTATTGAGTTTAGAGTTTATGGTTTTGTCTTTGTTTGTTTTGATGTATTATTATTTATGTGGTTTTAATTATGAGTTTTATTTTGTTATTGTTTTTTTAGTTTTTTCTGTTTGTGAGGGTTCTTTGGGTTTATCTATTCTTGTTTCAATAATTCGTAGATATGGGAATGATTATTATCGTTCTTTTGGGATGCTTCAATGTTAAGGTTTTTATTTTCTTTAATTTTTTTGATCCCTTTGTGTTTTTTAAATTTTTGGTGATTGATTAATTCTTTCTTGTTTTTCTTGTGTTTGTCTTTTTTTTTTGTTTTTCCTTATTTTTTTTGTTGGGGTAATCTTAGTTATTTTTTAGGTTGTGATTATATTTCTTATGGTTTAATTTTTCTTAGATTTTGGATTTGTTCATTGATGTTGTTAGCTAGAGAGTCAGTTTTTCGTTCTTCTTATTTTTCTGAATTTTTTTTGTTTATGATTTTGTTTTTGATGATTATATTATTTTGTTCGTTTGGTAGTGTTGATTTGTTTTCTTTTTACTTGTTTTTTGAGGGTAGACTTGTTCCTACTTTGTTTTTAATTTTGGGTTGGGGTTATCAGCCTGAGCGTCTTCAGGCTGGTATTTATTTGATTTTATATACTTTATTTGCTTCCTTGCCTTTGTTGATTGGTGTTATTGGGATTTATAATTCTTCTGGTTTGCTGTGTTTTTTTTTTTTGTTTGATCCTTGTTTGTCGAGAGTTTTTTTTTATTTTTGCATAGTCTTTGCTTTTTTGGTTAGGATTCCTTTATTTTTAGTTCATTTGTGGTTACCTAAGGCTCATGTTGAAGCACCTATTTCTGGTTCAATGATTTTGGCTGGTGTTTTGTTGAAGTTGGGTGGTTATGGTTTAATTCGTGTTATGGTTTTTTTAGTTAATTTTTCTTTTAATTTGAATTTTTTCTGGATTTCTATTAGTTTGTTAGGTGGGTTTTTGGTTAGATTGGTTTGTTTGCGTCAGACTGATTTGAAGTCATTAGTTGCTTATTCTTCTGTTGCTCATATGGGTATTGTTGTTTGTGGTATTATGACTGTCAATTATTGGGGGTTTTGTGGTTCTTATGTTTTGATGATTGCTCATGGTTTATGTTCTTCTGGTTTGTTTTGTCTTGTTAATATTGTTTATGAGCGGACGGGTAGTCGTAGTTTATTGGTTAATAGGGGTTTAATGTGTTTGATACCCAGAATGTCTATATGGTGGTTTTTATTGAGATCTTGTAATATAGCAGCTCCTCCTTCTTTGAATTTGTTAGGTGAGGTTGTTTTATTTAGAAGTTTGATTTCTTGGTCTTGGTTGACTATATTGATGTTGGGGGGTTTGTCTTTTTTTGGTGCTGCTTATACTTTATATATATATTCTTATAGTCAGCATGGTAGTTTTTATTCGGGTATTTATTCATGTTCAATGTTTTATGTTCGTGAATTTTTATTGGTTTTTTTGCACTGGTTTCCATTAAATTTGTTTATTTTGTTTAGAGATGTCGTTTCTTTTTGGTTATAAAAATTTAAGTAGTTTAATTAAAATATTGGTTTGTGGTGTCAATGATGCATTTTTTGCCTTGGGTCGTGAATTTTATTTCAATTTGTTTTGTTAGTTTTTTTTTCCTTTTATTTTTTGGTATTTTGTCTTTTTTTGTTGGTTTTGTTTTTGTTGTTAAGGACTTAGTTTATTTTATTGAGTGGGATATTATTACCTTGAATTCTAGTTCTGTGGTTATGACTCTTCTTTTTGATTGAATATCCTTATTTTTCTTGGGTTTTGTTTTTTTTATTTCTTCTTTAGTTGTTCTTTATAGAGATGATTATATACATGGGGATTTGAATATTTATCGTTTTATTTATTTGGTTTTGTTGTTTGTTGTTTCTATGATGTTTTTGATTTTAAGACCTAATTTAATCAGAATTTTATTAGGTTGAGATGGTTTGGGGTTAGTTTCTTATTGTTTGGTTATTTATTATCAGAATTTTAAATCTTATGGTGCTGGTATGTTGACTGCTTTGTCTAATCGTGTTGGTGATGTTGCTCTTTTAATATCTATTGCTTGGATGTTTAATTTTGGTAGTTGGAATTATGTGTATTATTTGTTTTTTATAAGGGGTAGAATGGAAATGAATTTTATTTCCTTTCTTGTTGTTTTGGCTGCTATAACTAGGAGAGCTCAGATTCCTTTTTCTTCTTGATTGCCAGCTGCTATGGCAGCTCCTACTCCTGTTTCTGCTTTAGTTCATTCTTCTACTTTAGTTACTGCTGGTGTTTATTTGCTTATTCGTTTTAGATGTTCTTTTGGTGATTCTCTTAATAGATTTTTGTTGTTGGTTTCGGGTTTAACTATGTTTATATCTGGTTTGGGGGCTAATTTTGAGTTTGATTTGAGGAGGGTTATTGCTCTCTCTACTCTTAGTCAATTGGGGTTAATAGTTGGTATTGTTTCTTTTGGTTTTCCTGAATTGGCCTTTTTTCATCTGTTAACTCATGCTTTGTTTAAGGCTCTTTTGTTTATGTGTGCGGGGGTGGTTATTCATGTTATGGGTGATTCTCAAGATATTCGTTTTATGGGTGGTGTTTCTTTTTTTATGCCTTTTACTTCTTCTTGTTTGGTTGTTTCTAGTTTTGCTTTGTGTGGTATGCCGTTTTTGGCTGGTTTTTATTCTAGGGATCTTATTTTGGAGATGGTTTTATTAGGTTATTTTAATTTTTTTGGTTTGCTATTGTTTTTTTTGTCTACTGGTTTAACTGTTTGTTATTCTTTCCGTTTATTTTATTATGTTTTGTTCGGTGATTTTAATTTGTCTTCTTTTTGTTCTTTTGAGGATGCTGGTAATAATATATGTACTGGTATGTTGGGTTTACTTGTTGTTGTTATTTTTGGTGGTAGAATGTTGAGATGATTAATTTTTCCTACCCCTTTTGTTATTTGCTTGCCTTTTTATTTGAGGACTTCAGTTTTGTTAGTTAGAATTTTGGGTGGTTGGTTAGGTTATGAATTATCTAAGGTTGATTTAGGTGAGTTTCTTTTTTCTATATTTTTATATAAGTCTTCTTTTTTTTTTGGGTCTATGTGGTTTATACCTTATGTTTTTGTTTATGGTGTTTCTTTGTTTCCTTTGAATTATGGATATGTTATTATTAAGTCTTTTGATTCCGGTTGGAGAGAGTTTTTTGGTGGTCAGGGTCTTTTTTGGTTTTTTTCTTTTTTGGCTAAGGGCAATCAATGGTTGCAGTATGGTAGTCTTAGGGTTTATATATTTTTTATTGTTGTTTGGATTAATTTGTTAGTTTTTTTTATATTTATGTACTTGAATAGCTTATTTAGAGCATAACATTGAAGATGTTATTGAGATATTTTTATCTTTAAGTATTTATAAAATATTTATTTATTTTTACAGTGAAAGTGTAATGTTTTTTTTAAACTATATAAATAGAAATGTAAACGGATTTTAACCGCTATAGTGATAAGTTAGCAGCTTTCACTTAATCTATTCATTTCTTTAACTGGAATTTGGTTATTCATTTTTATTATTAACAGTAATATACCTCTATTTGGTTTCAGTTAATTTTAAGTAAGGATAAAATTTATCTAAGATCAGGTCGAAATTGATTGCGTTAATCGCTTCTTACTTTGAGATAGACTATATTAGTACTTTTTGATTGCAAACCAAATGTTATTATTAACTACAATCCCTTATTCTGCTCACTCTAAGGATCCTTGATTTCATTCGTGATATAACCCGATGATTAGGATTACAATAAATAATGTTCTGATTGTGGCTCATGATATTATGTTTGATCTTGTTATCACGATTGTTATTGGTAATAGGAGTGCAATTTCTACGTCGAATACTAGAAATATAATTGCGATTAGGAAAAATCGTAAGGAAAACGGGAGTCGTGCAGATCCCATGGGGTCAAACCCGCACTCAAATGGTGATCTTTTTTCTCGGTCTTCAATGTTTTTTTTTGATATTGCTGTCGCAATTATTATGATAATTGTTGATAGTATTATGATTGTTGTTATTATTGTTGTTACTATTTTTATTATTTATCTCATTTTTTGAACTTCTTGATTGGAAGTCAAGTATACTTTTTATATTAGATAAATTTATTTGGTTATCTTCCTCATCAGTAAATTGAGATATATAAGAATAGTCATACTACATCTACAAAATGTCAATATCATGCGGCTGCTTCAAATCCTATATGGTGGTTTGATGAGAAATGAAGTGTTAGGTGTCGTATTAAACATGTGATTAGGAAGGTTGTTCCAATGATTACATGGAGACCATGGAATCCTGTTGCTACAAAGAACGTGGCTCCATAAACCGAGTCGGCAATAGTGAATGGTGATTCTATATATTCGTATGCTTGTAGTGCTGTGAAATATAATCCTAGGATTACAGTTATAAATAGTCCTTGTAACCCCTGGTTATAATTGTTTTCTAAGATTCTATGATGTGCTCAAGTGATAGTTACCCCTGATGATAGGAGGATTGCGGTATTTAGAAGTGGAATTTGTAGGGGATTAAATACTTGAATTCCAGTTGGTGGTCACATTGATCCGAGTTCGTTTGTTGGTGATAATCTTCTGTGGAAAAATGCTCAAAAGAAGGAGACGAAGAAGAATACTTCTGATGTAATGAATAGGATTATACCTCATCGTAACCCTTTAGTTACTTTTCTTGTATGTAATCCTTGGTATGTGCCCTCTCGTGTAATATCTCGTCATCATTGGATGGTTGTTATGATTATTGTGATTATTCCAATTCTTATTAGTGTTTGTTCATATTGGTGGAATCATTTAATTGTTCCAGTTAATGTGATTATGGCTCCCATTGCTCCAATAAGAGGTCATGGTCTTTGGTTTACTATGTGGAATGTGTGATTTATGTGGTTTGTCATTTTAATTGATTTCTCTAGAATATAATGTTCTTAGTACTGCGAATACATATGATTGAATGATTGCTACTGCTGTCTCTAATGTTAGTAGAGCAATCTGTGTAATAATTAGGATGCTGATTATTGAGTATGCTATTGATGATCCATTTTCTCCTAGTAGTGTTATTAATAGGTGACCTGCAATTATATTTGCTGTTAATCGGATAGCTAATGTTCCTGGGCGAATAATGTTTCTGATTGTTTCAATGCACACTATAAATGGTATTAGGATCGGTGGTGTTCCTTGTGGTACAAGGTGGGTTAATATGTGTTTAGTGTTGTTGATTCATCCGAATATTATAAATCTTGTTCATAATGGTAAGGCTATTGTTAATGTTAATGTTAGGTGTCTGGTTCTAGTAAAGATGTATGGGAATAAGCCTAAAGTATTGTTTATTAGGATTATTGAGAATAATGACGTGAATATAAGTGTTCTTCCGTTGTTGATTTTTTTTGTTCCTAGGAGTGTTTTAAGCTCTTCGTGTATTTTTTTTATTGTTTTATTTCATGCTGCGTTGTTTCGAGATGGAATTATTCATATTATTGTGGGGATGATTAATAATCCTAATATAGTTCTTAATCAATTTATTGATGTGTTAAATATGTTTGTTGATGGGTCAAATACTGAGAATAAGTTTCTTATCATTTTCAGTTTGTTTTTTTTGTTAATTTAATTTTTTTTTGTATCTTTTTATTTGTTTGGGTAAATGAGAAGTAGTTTATTGTGTTGAATAATACGAAAATTGTTGAAAACGAGATGAATAAAATTAATCATCTAAGGGGTATTATTTGTGGGATGAGGGGGATACCATTTATTTGGTTATTTTAGTTTGACGATCTAATGTTATTTTTAACTAATCCCCCCAATAGGAGTAATTGCTAATTTACTATTATTTGGTTTAAGAGACCATTACTTGCTTTCAGTCACCTATTGATTCGCTTAGTTTTTTAATTCATTCAATAAAATTCTCTGTTGATACTCTTTCAATTACGATGGGTATGAATCTGTGGTTTGCTCCGCAGATTTCTGAGCATTGACCATAAAGTAGTCCGGGGCGGTTGATTATAAATCTTGATTGATTTAATCGGCCTGGTGTTGCATCGGCTTTGATCCCCAATCTAGGGATTGTTCACGAGTGAAGTACATCAGCAGCTGTTACGATAATTCGGATGAATGAGTGTATTGGTAAAGTTACGTGGTTATCTGTTTCTAGTAGTCGGAATATTCTTTTATTGTCTCCTTCATATGGTGTTATATATGAGTCGAATTCAACGTTGACGAAGTCTGAGTATTCATAACTTCAGTATCATTGGTGTCCAATAGTTTTAATTGTTATAATTGGGTTGTGGATTTCGTCTATAAGGTATAATAATCGTAAAGATGGAGTGGTGATGAATAGAAGAATTACTGCTGGCACAATTGTTCATATTAGTTCTATTGTTTGACCTTCTAGTATATATCGGTCTACGAGTTCGTTAATAATTGTTGATGCTATGAAGTATAATACTATTGCTAGAATTATTGTGATGATTATTATGGTATGATCATGGAAGAAGATTAGTTGTTCTATGATTGGTGATGCTCTATCTTGTAAATTCATGCATGATCATGTTGTCATTTTCTAATAAAAGTTTTTAGTACTTTATTTGTGGAGCTTAAATCCACTGCACTTCTCTGCCATATTAGATTTTATTAATTGATAATTGTTGGTAGTTCTGAATATCTGTGTTCTGATGGGGGCAGATCTTGGATTCATTCAATTGAGTTTCTTGTATGTGTTGATCTTAACACTTGTCGTTTAGTTCTTATTCTTTCTCATAAAATGTAAATAAACATTATCACTCCAATAAATGAGATGGTTGACCCCATTGATGAGATAATATTTCATGTAGTGTATGCATCTGGATAATCTGAATATCGTCGTGGTATTCCAGCTAGTCCTAGGAAGTGTTGCGGGAAGAACGTTATATTTACTCCCAGGAATATAATTGTGAATTGAGTTTTCAATCATTTTGGATTTATTGTTAGTCCTGTAAATAATGGGTATCAGTGGATAAATCCGGCTATGATAGCGAATACGGCTCCTATTGATAGAACGTAGTGGAAGTGAGCTACTACATAATATGTGTCATGTAGTACAATATCGATTGATGAATTTGCTAGGACTACCCCCGTTAGCCCCCCTATTGTAAATAGGAAAACAAATCCTATTGATCATAAGCATGTGGGTCTATATGATAATTTTGATCCTTGGATTGTTGCTAATCATCTGAAGATTTTAATTCCAGTTGGTACTGCAATAATTATTGTAGCTGATGTAAAATATGCTCGTGTATCGACATCTATTCCTACTGTAAATATATGATGTGCTCATACTACAAATCCTAATAACCCAATTGCTAGTATGGCAAAGATTATTCCTAGGTTTCCAAAAGCTTCTTTTTTTCCTCTTTCATGGGAAATGATGTGGGAAATTATCCCAAATCCTGGGAGAATTAGAATATATACTTCTGGATGTCCGAAAAATCAAAATAAGTGTTGGTAAAGAATTGGGTCTCCACCTCCCGCTGGGTCAAAGAAGGAGGTGTTCAAATTTCGATCAGTTAATAATATTGTGATAGCCCCTGCTAGTACTGGTAGTGATAGTAATAATAAGGTGGCGGTAATAATTACTGCTCATACAAATAGGGGTATTTGTTCAGATTTCATACTTGATGGTTTTATATTAATTGCTGTTGAGATAAAGTTTACTGCTCCTAAAATTGACGATACACCTGCTAGGTGTAAGGAGAAAATTGTTAAATCTACTGATGCTCCCGCATGGGCGATTCCTCTAGCTAACGGGGGATACACTGTTCACCCTGTTCCAGCTCCTCTTTCTACTATACTTCTGGTTAGGAGGAGTGTAAGTGAGGGTGGGAGTAGTCAAAATCTTATGTTATTCATTCGTGGAAATGCCATATCAGGGGCCCCAAGTATGAGTGGTACTAATCAATTTCCAAAACCCCCAATTAGAATTGGTATAACCATGAAAAAGATTATGATAAATGCATGTGCGGTTACGATTACATTGTAAATTTGGTCGTCTCCAATTAAGGATCCTGGTTGACCAAGTTCTGCTCGGATTAATATTCTTAATGATGTTCCTAATATTCCGGATCATGCCCCGAAGATGAAGTATAATGTTCCAATATCTTTATGGTTTGTTGAGAATAACCATCGTTTAATTATTAGTGGAATGTCTGATTTTAGGTGATAGATTGTAAATCTATTTATGGGATTTTCCCTTCTACTATAGCTTTATATTCATTAGGTGATTATAGAATGCAATTCTATAGGGGTAGTTTTGCTACTAAGGCTTAAAGATTTTCTTTATTTATAGCTTTGAAGGATATTAGTTTGTTTAACTTAAAGCCTTTAATCTAAGTTCATGATTATTTCTGATATTATTAACCCCGTAATTGAGATTGATGTTAATAAAATAATGTGTTTAGGTGTTTTATTAATAGGTTGGGCAATTAATCATTTTGTTTCTAGGTGTAGTATTATTAAACTTGAGTATGTCATTCGTATGTAGTAATATAACGTTACTACTGATATTAAAACCATTATTGTGGCTGTTGTTTTTATTTCGTTGGTTATTATAGCTTGAATGACTATTCATTTTGGTATAAATCCCAAGAATGGCGGCAAACCTCCTAATGATAAAATTCTTGTGAATACAAGGAATTTTGTTAGTTTGTTCTTCTTTTCTGTTATTGCTATTTGGTTAACGAAAGATAATTTGGTGGTTTTTACAATCGACACTACTGTTAATGTTAGTATTGAGTAGATTGTGAAATATGTTACTCATATATCATTTCCTGTAATTATTGCCGATATTATTCAACCTGTGTGGTTAATTGATGAGTATGTTATGATTTTTCGTAGTGATGTTTGATTTAATCCCCCGATAGCTCCAATTATTACTGATGTTACAATGATTATTTCTAGGAATATATCATTGTTAATTTGGTATGAGATTAAGGATAGGGGTGCGGATTTTTGTAGAGTTATTAGAATTAAGCAATTATTTCAGTTTAACCCCTCCATTACTCCAGGGAATCACCAATGTATTGGGGCGACCCCCCCTTTTAGTAATAGGGGTGTGTTTATTAATATTTGTGTATATAAGTTGTCCGAGTTAATTAATATTCTTTCTTCTATTGCTCTTATTATTACTATGAATAATAGTATTGATGAAGCCCCTGCTTGTACAATAAAGTATTTTAGTGAGGCTTCTGTGGTGTAGATATTTTTTTTTTCTATCATTATTGGAATAAATGATAGTAAATTAATCTCTAACCCCATTCATGCTCCAAATCATGAATTAGAGGAAATTGAGATTAAAATACCTCTTGTTAACGTTGTTAATAAGAGGATTTTTGTTGAGTTGTTGGGCATTAGAAGAGAGAGTATTTACTCTATTTATGGGGTATGAACCCATTAGCTTTATTAGCTTACTTTTCTAATTTTTACGTTTTAGTGTATGGTGCACGGGAATTTTTGATATTTCAGGGAATGGTTTGACTCTATTTAACGTAATGGAGGTATTTTTATACATTATTTACCCTATCATAGTAATCCTTTTTCAGGCACTCCATT